GCGCCCAGAATGTAGGCTGACAAACTCCGCGTGGTACCTGACGCGCACCGCAGTGGCCGTTGCAAAAACGTCTCGAGGCTCGTGCGCGGCGGGCGCGTTGCTGTTCAGTGTTGAAACCCTGGATTGCCCTCAAAACCAAACTGGTCTGACTGACCTTAGGTCACGTCTCCTGCTATGAACGCCACGTTTTCAGGGAGCAGTGAAAGCAGGAGGAACAAACATTCCTTAGCATCCGCCTGCCTCAGGGAAAAGCTGATAGAAGGCGTTCTGAGCACAAGCAACTTACTGGTCTTGCAGGGTCCCTGAGCCCCTGACTCCAAGCCACTGCCGTCACGGCATCAGCCGCAGTGCATCACTGCACGTAATCTTGCTCTACACTTCCTCAACCCTCTGCGAGGAAACCACATAGCTAAGGGGAGAAAAAGCAACAGCAAGAGTTTAGGGCTGAGCTCGCGTGACGGAGGACTTCTTTCCCCCAAATCACCCTAGAGGAAAGGGGGGAGGGGGAGCACACAGGGCAATGAACAGACTGTATGATTGCTGCAGGGATACGCTAACTGAGCAACGCCATGGAACGGAGAACTCACAAAACACCCGTATATGTACACAACTGCAGTGTAGAAATAGCACCTACTAAGGAAGGATTTTTCATTAACTGAAGCTGGAGTTGGAAAACATGAGGTGTGCAAAATAATCTATCCCACATAGAGTAAGGACTTTATTTATTACCCCGCCATAGTTGGGCCCGGGGTACACTGTGACATTAACAAAAGTGCTTCCAGTAGATCTCAGCTAGGTTCATCCCCCCTCCATCATTCTCCTTCATCCCCCTCCTCCGCTCTTTAAAGCTCTTGACAGAAAACATAAAGAACTTCTATACTTCACAATAAAGATTTCTTAAGCAATGCAGATAAATGATTGACTATAAAATAGAATAGGGATAAGTCCGACTTATTAAGAACTTTTATTTCTCACAAGACACCATAAAGAACAAAACCTACAATGTACATGTAGAGAAAATATTGTCAGTACACACAAGTGGCAAAGGAGTCCTATTCATGCTGTATAAAAACAGTATGAATTCCAGACGCTGGTGGCTCACGCCTGTAAATCTAGCTACTTGGGAGGCTGACACTGGGAGGATCACAGTTTGAGGCCATCCTGGACAAATACTTCACAAGACCCCACCTCAAAAATAACCAGAGGACAATGGACTGGGGGTGTGACTCAAGCGGTAGAGTGCCTGCTTTGCAAGCCTGAAGCCCTGAGTTCAAACCCCAGCCCTATCAAAAAAAAAAAAGACTATAAATTAATAAGAAACATAATCCAGTAGAGAAGTGGGCAAAAGACATGAATAAATATTTAATAATGGAGAAACACATACGACCCTTCTTACACTATCTGTGTGACCTGACAAACCCTAAGTGAATCATTTAACTGTTTTAGGGAGGAATCTTCATTTATATTTGCTAAGAAAATGTGCAGCTCACTGTAATAAATAAACAAGCAAGCAAAGACACAAGGTTTCACCAGTGAGATCTAGTAGGAACCACTGATAACCAAATTAGACTAATTTTTTTCCAGATACTAGAGTTCAAGATAGTTTTAAAATTAGAAAAATTGTGAACCGATTTATCATGTTAATGGGAAAACTTATATTATCTCAGCAGACATAATTAAACATCTCATGCTTGAAAAAGAAACGTCTAACAAACTAGATGTGGAAGGAAACACCCTTGACTTGACTTTATTCTTTTTTGGGGGTGGTGGTGATGGTAATGGGGTTTAAACTTAGCTTAACTTGATTTTTAAAACTTACTTAACAGTCTATAACAGATATACTTGGTGATAAAAAGCTGAACACGTTTCCTATAAGATTTTGATGGGTGCTTAGCTACTTAGGAGGCTGAGGATCAAGGTCCAGCCTAGCCCAGGCAAATAGTTCGTGAGACCCCCCCCCCAATCTCCAAAATAACCAAAGCAAAATGGAGTGGAGATGTGGCTCAAGTGTTAGAGTGCCTGCTTTGGAAGCATGAAGCTCTGAGTTCAAATCCTGGCCCCGCAAAAAAAATTTTTTTTGGACAAGGCTGGTTGCTGGTGACTCATACCAGCAACCTAACTACTCAGGAGGCAGAGACCAGGAGGATCATAGTTCCAGGCCACCCCACACAAAAAGACTCACACACACACACACACACACACACACAAATGGGCTGGTGGAGCAGCTCAAGTGGTAGAGTGCTCTGGGCAGGGCCAGGCCAGGGTTGTGGTAGCTCACATGTGTAATTCCAGTTTCTTGGGAGGTGGAGATTAGAAGGATAACACAGTTCAGTTTGAGGGCATCCTGGGCAAAAAGTTATCGAGCTTCTATCTTGACAAATAAACTGGGTGCAATTATACATGGCTGTGGGCCCACCGACATGGCAGACACAGTGGGAGTACAGAGGTCTGAGGTCCCTAATGGAAAAGAGCTGCAAATGTGGCTCAAATGGTAGAGTGCTTGCCTAGCCTGAGACGCTGGGTACCACCGAAGAAAGAAAAACCAAACAAATTATCTACAGATACAGTATGGCCTATGTAAAATGGTGAAATATCTACAGACAAATTCTTCAATAATAGATTCTTATATTAAAATTAATAAGTGCTATTATGAAGATTGCTAGCTACAGTCATTATACAGAAATCAGCTGCATTTCTATACACCGACCCGACAACACACAGAAAATATAACTAAATGACACTTGTTAAAACTGTCCCAAGAATGGAGGAGGAGGCATGAAGGAGACTAATGAAGGGGATGGATCTAACTAAGACAAATTGTAAGAACTTTTGTAAATGTCACAATGCACTCCAGTACAAAAATAATAAGATAATAGAAATAATTTAAGAAACAGAAAAAGAAAATATAACTTTAAAATATACCATTTCATTGTGACATCTAAAACTATCAAATATATCAACATGAATGAACTATACATGTGTGGTATTATTAAGATAATTATAAAACTTTACAGGAATAAATTTTAAAAGAACTAAAAATGAGGCGATAAATCATGTTCATGAATTAGAAGACTCCATTTCTTCAAGATGTCACTTGTCTCGAAATTGTCTTATAGAGTCAATGCAGTTCTGGTAAAAATCACAATACGTACTTGCCCGTCTAATTTAAAAAATGTGTCAAGTTGTAAAGAGCAAAAATAGCAGAAAGTACTCTACAACAAAGTAGGGGGACCTGTCTTCCAGATCACAAGACCATGTCATTAAAATGGAAACTGAGACTAGTTATAGGTGAAGTAAGCACTTTCTCCAAACTACCATAGTCAGAAGAACTGAAGACACAGGGATTCCTTGAGCAAAATTTTCCTGAGGCAACTCTGAGTGGAAAAGTACTGGAGGCTGACTCAGAGGATGGGTGCTCTCGAAGCTTGTCCTGTGCCTTTTTATGGTTGGCTGGGCTCCAGGTCAAGGTAGACGTTGTTCAGAATCTGGTTTTGCTCCTTGGAATTTGTTGCTTCTTGGAATTTATGGCAACTATTTGGTTTTCTCAATTCCTGGAATGGCCTTTAGGAACAAAAGTTCAGTTCAAAGTTCATGTGTGAAAACTTACAGCTTTTTGTAATATGAAAGAAATGAAATTGGACTCATATCCAAAATTCAATTCCAAGTAGCTTAAGAACTTAAATGTGAAAGGCGAACCTATAAAACTTTCAGAAGACAATGTAGTATAATTCCTTTATGATTTCAGGGTAGAAAAGAATTTCTTAGACACAAAAACGCTAACATAGAGGAAAATGATTGTCAAATTTCACCACATTAAAATAAGTACTTTCACTCATCAAACTATAACATAGATCAAGAGTGAAACCAGGCTGGTGGAGTGGCTCAAGTGGCAGAGTACCTGCTTTGCAACCAGGAAGCCCTGAGTTCAAACCCCAGTGCCACCAAAAAAAAAAGAGTAAAAATACAGTCTTCAAACTGGGACAAAGTATTTTCCATATATACAGCCTGCAAAAGATTAGTATACAGAGTATATAAGGAATTTCTACTGATCAATAAGGAATAAACAAAACTGCTAATTTGAAAACTAGGCAAAATCCATCAACAAGGATTGTAGAGAAGAAAGGCAAATGATTAATAAGTACATGAAAAGATCTTCAATCTCATTAGTTATTAAGGGAAATACAAAATAAGGTAACAATAGGATATAGCCAGTGTGGTGGCTCACATCTATAATCCCAGCTACTTGGGAGGTGGAGATCAAAAGGATCGCACTTTGAGGCCAGCCCAAGCAAAAAGTTACTGAGACCCCATCTCAACAAACAACTAAGCATGGTGGTATGCAGCTGTCATCCTAGCTGCATAAGAGGCCAAGGTAGGAGTATCGTGGTTGAGGTAGTCTGGGCAAAAAGTTCAAGATCCTATCTGGAAAATAACTAAAAGCAAAAACAGGGCTGGCAGAGCAGCTCAAGTGGTGGAACACCTGCCTAGCAAGTATGAGGCTCTGAATTCAAACCCCAGTACCTCAAAAAAAAAAAAAGAAAGAAAACAATAGGATATAGTATCTCCTCCTTGGGATTGACAAAAAAATACTACTGGCAAGAGTTTAATTGGTGTGATGGCTTTGGAATCTCACATTGTATCGTAAAACAGTCTTTGACCAGCTATTAATCATGGTTCCTAACAGAAATGTGCACATGTGCACTACAAGACATGTGCAAGAATATTGGTAAAGGCTTTATTTAGAGTAGATAAAACTCAGAAATAATACAACATGTTCTGCAGTTGACAGTCTAAACAGGAGAGTACTTTTCAGACAACAGGACATTACACAGAGTGAGTGAAAATGGACTAACTGTAACAACAAACATAAACACGTATGAATCTCAAAACATAATGTGAGTAAAAGAAAGTTACAGAAGAATTTGTGCGTGTGACTTAATTTTTATATATTGCTAAAGGAGACAAGGTTATAGTGTTAGAAGACAGAGTAGGGGTTACTTTGGGGAGTGAGGAAGGGCTGGTGATGTGAAGGGGGAGAAGGAAGATTAATTTGAGCTCTTGGACCCCTATTCAGAAAGTCGTTACCTACATCTTGAAGTGTTCCCCTATGTTTTCCTC